TGAATGCACTTTGATGAATTCCCTTCCTGGGCTGGGCTTCCACCAGATTCCTCCACCAGGCCAGGGCATGGGAAGTAGGGGAGGCCCAGGGAATGGAAAACGAAGAATGTGAGTGATGGTGCTGCAGTCCTCTGAGCTGTGATGCAAGAGAAGTGTCAGGGGCCAGTTTGGCAGCTGCAGAGATGGTGCCAGCCATGGTAAGTGCGGCCAAATCACCTTCCTTCTGGAACATGTCCAGGATCGGCGCTCCTGAGGCTGCACACTCACTACCTGTGCAGGGTGGTGGGGGCTTCTCCAGATACCTGGGGAAGAGAGAGAGCCTGAGCTCTGAGCCGGCAGGGGACCGAGGGAGCGAGGAAGCCAGCCAGCCTTCTGCAGTACCAGACCAGCTTGCAGGCGGTATCCATTTGCCCACCTCTGTGCTGCTCACAGCTGGCACCCCTAAAACCCAAAGGACCTGAATCTGCAACTCAGAGGGGAGGAAAAGGTTGTGAAGTGAAGCCAGCAGGAGAACAAAGGAGGCTTTGCTGGAAAGGGAGGCACCTTTGACTGAGGCCTCCAGGGCCTGGGGAAGTGACTCACAGGGCCCCCAGGATGGACCCACCCATGGGCGCTCTGTGGACTAAGAATGCAGCCCAGCTGCCCAAGCACAGGCCCCTTGGGGTGGGGAAGGGGTTGTCAGTCTTCTGAGTTAGTTGGGTGGGGCCTCCCCCTCTGATGCCCTCCTCCCCTCCCTCAGGATCTGGTCTGCATCCAGCCTCAGGGCCTGGGGGTGGCCTATGCTTGCTGGTCCTGCCAGGTGGGGCTGTGGCCATGGCTTCTGCTTCTGCTGCCAGGGCTGCAGGCATGGTCCCCTCTGCCCAGTCCTCACTCCCATTGGCCAGCAGGGGCCTGGGTCCCCCAACTCTCGGCAGAGCCACACTGCTGCTCTGCCAAAGACAGGCTGTCATTGCCACCCAAAAGGTGGCAGTTTTGGCATTTGGCTCTGTCGCAAGCTCCCTGGATGCCTGTGGTGAGAACTGGGAGAGCCCTGGCAGCGCACCCCGGCTTCTCCCGCAGTTGCACAATCTCCCCCAATTACACTCCTTATACTGCGTGGCAACCAGGCGAGAATTCCAGGACCTTGTACATACTCGTACAGATCTGCCTTTCTGCTGTTTGGCTGCAGGGAGAGGCGGGTCTCTGTGGGCCCCGAGAAACGGGGGTGTGTTCGCGTCCAAGAGGGCGTGGCCCGCGTCCGGAGTGGGAGCCACCGCCACGCCCTGCCGGTGCAGACTGCCCCAAACCGCAGCTTCCTCGGGAGCCCTGGACTGGGTCCAGGACACAGAGGAGGAAGCTCTGGTGACATTCTAGACATGGGCTTCAAGCAGCAGGCTTGGCCCCGAGCAGCTCAAGCCTGTGGCAGGTGGCGCATCTCCTGCCCCATCCAGCCAGGGATGTGGAGACCTGTGTTCTCCTGGGGGCAGGGCAGCATCTTCCCAGGAGCTTGGCTTGGGCGTCCTGGCCACTCCTCCCCGGCCCTGCCCTTACTCTTTGAAGACTTTGTCGTGGTTTGTGCTGTCTGTGTGAGGAGGTCCTGGGAGTAGGGCCCTGGATGACCCAGCTATTGTCATCCCAGAGCCATGACTCTGGGTCAAGGAAGAGTATTGTCCGGCTCCACCACCAGGCCAAGAGATGGCTGTCAGGACTGGCTGTTCCGTGTAATGGAAATAAAGACAAAAATCCAAATGCAGCTGACCTCCAGCCCTCTCCTTTGTGTTTCCCCTCGGGAGTGTGCCTGCTTCTGTCCCTGGATCTCTCATTAGAATTTCAGAGAAGCCTTGTTTGCTACTGGAGGTGCCAGTGCTGAGCCTAGAGAGGATGTCAGCTCTGCTTGCAAATCAAAGTGTTTGGGGGTCATCTATGTACGAGGTCATGACAAAGTTGAAAACCATAATATGGAAAGTTCTCTCCCAGATAACTTTACAGAGCCTCGAGTAAACAATTCTTGTGGATAAACCAACATCCTCTCTTAGCCTATGTGCTGTCTTGTCCTCCAAGCTCGGTAGTGGCTTGTATATGTGAGCTGTCAATCACTGGCACCCATGTGGTTGTTAGGAAGATGAGGATCTTTGCAGTAAGTGGGGACCCTTTTGCTGACCGAGGTCTCTGCAGCCACATTAGCCCACTCTTAAAGTCCAAGTTATATGACCCTAAAATAGCACAAATACTGTCCAAGATTTGAGGGGTAGGAGGGTGAGACTGGAAATACAGGGAGCCTCTTCCCATGAATAAACAATTACCAACAGGCAGCGATGCCTGGATAGACATCCCTGGGAGTGGCCCCCACTCACCATGGGTCAGGCAGGTGCCTTGTTTGTCCAGCTCCAGGGCTTGGGGGAAGAGAGCTGCCACCTGGTGTTCCCAAACAAGACCAGCTGGTAGGGCAGGGGTGGGGTTGGGGAGGCTTCCCGGGAGCTGGGCTCTCCCTTCCACAGAAAGGTCTGAGAAATGCCCCTGGGCTTACTTAGGATGCAGAGGGCAGAGGCTGCAATCCAGGGAGAGTCCCTGGTTCCTTTTCTGACCCTCAGTCAACCCTCACTAGGTTGGGTTCCATTTGGGTCACCTTAGAAAACTCTGAAGCTCCTGAGAGAATGTCACAGCTAGTCTTGCTCCTGGCAGGAAGCTGCCCTTAGCTGTCACCAATACCCTTTTTTTCTCTTGGTCCACAAAGAGCTACCTCATGAGCCTCAACCTCCAGGTGGGGCAAGGCATCTCTCTACGTGGCGCTGCCTCCTTTGGGTGGGGTCGAGGTGAGCAGAAAGAGGGCCAGCCACGTCCTCATCACATTTGAGACAAGTCCAGCATTATGCAGTGACTTTAAGCTTTGTGGCTAAACACTGCCCACCTTAAAATCAACAGAAGCCATGGCCGTCAAATTGTGGCATCACAGTTCCTACATTAGCCCAGATGTTAGGCTCAAGGCCAGAAGCTGTGCTCTCTGGCCAACAGTCCCTCCAGCTCTGTCTAGAACTCCCCATTGGCTTGAACCAAGTGCCCACCTTGAACTGAAAATCCCCTGGCAGCTCCTGTTTTGGTATGTTCCATCTTGTCATCTACTTAGAAGAAACTCCAAGCTTGTGTGTCCTTACAGTGTCCTCCAGGGCCATTGAAGCTGTTTTCCAGCTGCTGGAGAGTCAGGAGGGTGGACAGGGCCTGGTAGGATGGGGCCATTTGGTGCGCAGCATTCTCCAGAGAATGCAGGTCTGCCATCTTGCTCTTCCCTCGGTCAGGGGCTCAGTGGAGCCATTTCACACATCCATGCTGCTCTGCTTCTCAAATGTATTAGTGGTTTGGTTTATATATACAGATGCACAGAATGAATATAGTGCAAGAGGGCCCAACCCTCCATGGTGTCTCCTCACCTAGATCAGGAAGGTTTGGTATCTGGGACTTGGGCTACTCAAGGTCCTATTCAGTGGTCAAGCCAAGTCCCAGGGGTGAGGAGTGGTGGCTCCAGAGTCATCCAAGCCAGAGTACCTTCTTGTGGCTGCCTTGGTGGATTAGAAACAAAGTGCTAGAGTTGGGTGTATAATTTATAAAATATTCTTTATTTATGCTATGGAACACAGTCAAGTGGTAACTTTAAAAAAAAAACACTTTTTAAAAGATATTAGTGTGGTGACCCGGCTTTGAGCCCCGTGTGAGGACAGTGGCTGAAGCCATTTGCTTTGGCTTTGCCAAGGTCTCTCCTGCGCTGGGCGAGGTCTGGTGGGAAAGAGAGAAGTGTTGGTGCAGCGACCCTTCCACTTGCTTAGAACCAAGAATAACTTACGAAGAGCAGAGTAACGTTTATACTGCTGGTATCTGATCAAAAGATTACTTACAATACAGTATATTCATTCCAGGATGTATAAAAATGTTTGTACGTACTGTTTATGGGGACTACCCTAGAATTATAGCCTTACTATGGGAACACGGTATTTCTTTACAAATTTAGAAATTCTCTAGTTTATGTAGAAATCATACTTCCTGATTTTACTTAATTAGTAAAGAAATAATTAAGAGTAACATTCAGTAAGGTACTCTTTTTTTTTTCTTAAGCACAATGGTTGAATCAAAAAAGATAGTTTGCTTGAAAACGTTAGGGAGGCTCCACCAATCGGCAACCGCGCTGGCTGTCATAGTAGAAAAATCCATAAACCCATGAGGCACTGAGCTGTTTTCACAAGACTTCCCTTCTCATCAACACAACCCTTTCTCCTCCTCTCAGATGTGAACCTCAGATGCCCAAATACCCGTGTGCAAGCTGTAGGCGTGTTGCTGAGCACAGAAGGCTGGCAAGTCTGTCCAGCAAATTCAAGAGTATGATGGGATGGTGTCTGCTTTGGGGCCTCGAGGCTATGCTCTGGTCCTCTGGGCAGGTGGAAGTGGCCCTTACCAGCGCCAGAAAGCATCCCCATCAGAGCATAAGGACTTTCAAGAAAAATACAAAAAAGGCTGATTAAAATTGGAGGCCTACGTGAGTATGTTCAAACTCCTTCCCTTGGAATGAGCCGCACTGAGGTCTTGTGCTGGGCTTGGGTGGGTTACAGGTCCCCTGGCTGGCCTGAGCCCTGGACTGCGACCTCCTCCTCCTGCTCCGTGGGCTCTAAAGAGGACCTCATCCTCCACCAAAAACCAGAGAAAGGGAAAGTCACAAACATTGAGGACTGGGTTCAAAAGCCCCTGGACACCTTCCGTCTGCCTTTCCCCAGCCTGCATCTGGTTAGGGGCCATGAAGCAGAATTCAGAATCTGTGCTGCCCAGAGGGGACAGTCACAAAGGTAAGGAAACACCCAAAGGCAATAAATAACAGCAAGCTCGGGACCCTCACCCCTGCCTCTCCCCCAGCTACCACTGCAGGTTCTTCCCTCATTTGAGCGGGAGGAACCGAGGGAGGAATCCCACCCCAAACCTCCCTGCACAGCACCGAACGCTGGGACCTGGCTGCCGCTTCTGCACAGGATGGAGCCTCAGTCTTTCGCTTTATAGCATCATTTATGGCATGAACTAGGAACATGATGTGTTTACACAAACACACGACAATTGTACATCGGCATCTTTACAATATTAAAGGAGTCATATACAAGTCTACAGGCATCGTACATGGGGCAATGCCGGCCAGGTTGCCCCACCCGCCCAGCAGTTCTCTGTGGTCTCTCCACCCCAGGGAAAGAGCCATCGCAAGAGGGGAAGTGTGGCAAGGCAGGGGGTATCCATCTTTGGGCCTGTCTTCTAGGAGGCAGCAGGTCTGCGGGGACCTCCCTGGGACAGTCCTCATTGGAATCCGGGTCAAGAGCCCAAGGTGTGACTGTGTCTGGGTCTTACTGGCAGGTTGGGTAACAACAGTTTAATTAAAATTCAGTGTGCATGAGTGTGGGAAAATCAGAACTGGGGACGGCTTCCTGAGCTGGGGACCCAGAGGATGCTGACAGATGGGCCCCTTCACCATGGGACCCATTCCTGAGGTAAGGATGCGGTGTGGCCCCATGGCTGGTCCCCATGGGGAGAGACTCCTCTGGGAGCCCAGGTGTGAGTACATACAGATAGGAATCTAAGATCCCTGGGCATTAGTAGGTCAGGTAACTCACAAGTGTGGCCCGTGCCCCAGGCGGCAGCAAAAGTAGGGTCTCCAATGGTTCCAGAGCCATCCATCCCCCACGCCAGCACCACCTCACTCCCTGCAGCCCCACCCCCCATGGGGGCCCAGCTTTAGCCCCTATGGCACTGCCATCCCTGCACCTGCACCTAGAGCAGGGACCAGAAGTCTCCAAGCCCCGCTCTGCAGGCACCTGGGCCCAAGTGCCCGGCAGCTCTGCCACCCATGCAGACATGCTGCGTGTCCAATTGAGCTGAGCACCAGATAAAGAAGCATTGGTCCTTGTCAGCCTCTCTCACTTGCGCACTTAGTTACTTCTGCCTTAAATACTGTAGAAAAATAAGCCATCTCTGACGCAAGGAGACCCAGTAGAGTCTGCGCACGTGCAGAAGGATGGGCGGCTCCTCTGGAGTGGGCCGGGGGGTCTTCTGCTGACCTTGCCTCGGCAGGCGTGGAGCCTCGAGGATGCTGCACCAAGCTGGGGAGCCGAGGGGCCCGGGCCACTGGTGGCAGAGTTCCCACCTCGGCATCTTTGGGCCACATCAACAGTCCTTCAGTGGGCATGCCTCCAGCATCCCACGTTCTGTTGCCATGACACACCTAGGGCCCTGGGGCTCTCTGGGCAGGCACTGAACCCTCCAGCCCCACCCTCAGTCTCACGCCCACCGCTAAGCAGGCATAGGCAGAACTCCCCAGCACTGTTTCCAGGTCCCTGGGGCGTGTCCCCAGGGCCAAGGGGCCTCAGGTGGGCACTGAGGCAGGGCCTAGTCCAGGGGCTCCTGCTTTATTCGGACAGCAGTCGGGGTGGGCTGCGGCCGCCGCTCCTCCCGGCAAAGCACATACTCGCTGAACTGGGAGGAGTCCACACCACCCCCGCAGGATGCCGCCACGATGAAACCCCTCTGGAACAGCCTCTCCAGGACCTGCCGGAGAAGAAACAAGGGTCAGCGATGCCCCGCTGCAAGAGTCTGCCTGGCTTAGTCTGGTGGGCAGGTGGGTACTAGCCTCGACGAGCTGCCTTCTCCTGTTAAAATCTGTCTTGCTTACTGACAGAGGTCCCAGCAGAGCCACGAGTTGGCCGCTGCTGAAGGGACAGAAGCAGCCAGACCCTGGGGCCCCTCAAGTGACCAGACCTGGATGGGTGACCACTCTGCTGCCCTCAGGGGTCCACAGCCTTGATGCAAGAAGGCAGAGAGCACCTTTGGGCCCCTCCTGTTTTCTGGTGTAACCTGTCCCTCTCTCCAGATGCACGGTCCCAGGCCCCCCTCCCTCACTGAGGCCCCCGTAATAGAGACCCTGCCCCCAGCCTTGGGGCAGCCACCTGCTTCCCTGAGCTGTGAGTCCCAGATGGTTTGAGGCCTGGGGGCCCATCAGCTCGAGGGAGCTCAGCGTGGAGAGGAGTCCTTCTCTCTGAGTCTCTGCAGGTCTCCATGTCCATATGGGTTTGTGCCTCTGTGAGGGTGGGGTCTGGACACTGTGTCTGACACCGTGTCCTGCCACTGGCAAGTTCTGGTGGACAGCCTGCGGAATCTGTGCACGGGGAAACTTTTCCCACAAAGTTTACTCTGGCCCAAGCCTGAAATGGGAGTCTGCTCTTAGGTCTGGGAGAGCAGGTGGAAGATGGGTCTCCATGCCATCTGGGGCTTCCCGACTCAGACCCATCTGGGGAAGGCCAGTCCAGAAACGCTCTGGCAGCTGTTTGGGTGAGAGTAGCCCCAGGTCAGCACAATGAGGAAAGGCCACCTCTATTCTCAGCCTCTGACCTGCCGCTCCTACTGCTTGGGTTTAATTTGAATCCAAAGTCAGACTCTGGGTGTCAAATGAAGCACACTTTGTTAAAAAGACTCCAGGCCATTTTTACAGAACATCCTTTTGGAAAAAAAAAGCACAGATCAATTTTTTTAAGTCCATCCCCCAGGCGCCATCATTTAATTATGAGCAGGACATAAATTATGCATCGACACATTGTTGCCTTTTCTGTAAGATGGCACAGAGGGCCTCGCCATTTCAGGGACGGGGCCTCTCCCTCCAACTCCCTCTGCTGCCCCAGGGGTTCGGGGAGGCAGGGGCGGGCCCTCACCTGCACCGAGTTGAGCCGGCAGTAGCCGTTGAGCGGGAAGCGGATGACATGCGTGGGGTCCTGGTTCCAGCCGGCGTTGACCGAGTTGCACATGACGTCCCCGGTCTCGGGGAAGACCTCCTCGATGAGGGCCTTCTCGCCGCTGAGCGCGATCCGCTCACCCAGGTCCGGCGTGACGCGCACCACCAGGCAGTCGCAGGCCCGGCTGCGGCGCCGCTGCTCCTGCTCCTGCTGCCAGCGCTCCAGCTCGCGCACCATGGGCTGCAGCTGGTAGTACCGCGCCTCCTCGTACAGCAGGCTGAAGTCCTGCGGGCATGCGCAGACGGGTGCGGGGCGTGGGGGTCTGCCCTGCAAACTCCGCCCCCATCACAATTCCACTGGGACGGCAATCCCCCGCCACCCCAACACACACACACACACACACACACACACACACACACACACACACCCCCACTGTACCAATGGAAAAAAATAAGGCTCTTGTGAAGGCGTGCAAACTCAAGGAGTCTCGCCTTCCTAGGGCAGTGGCTGGTATGCACCTGTGCCAGACCCCCTGAGCCCTTCCATCTGGACCCAAGCAATGGAGGGTTGCTTCATCCCCCTGAAGCAGGGAGAAGCTTCTGGAAAAGCTGGGAGGCTAGACTGGAGGAGCTGCAGGCTGTGTCTTTTCCTAGGGACCTGCTGCTTTCTGAGAGGAGAAGCTGGGCTGGGCAAAGGGCAGCCCTGTCCTCACCCACCCTGGAGGAGCTCACTATCCAGCAGGGAGGCAAAATAGACTTTTTTTTTGCCGGGGTTGGACTTTCGACACCATTATTTGAGACCTTTTCTGAGCCTCAGTTTCCTCGTCTATAAAATGGATGGAAACAACCAGCTCAGAGATGGGGTGAGGCTTAAAGGACAAGAAGATGGGCCCCTGCCCTAGCAGACAGTGTGAGGGGGTGTCTGGGGGGACACCCACCTCTCACCAGCAGCCCAGTCCTGGGCTGGCGGGCTCACACTAACCATCCCTCAGGCCCTGATATCAGCCCTCCGCCCCGGTCAAACACAGGTCCACCCACACTGCCCCAGCTCTGGGTAGCCGAGAACCCATGATTTACGCCATTCAGCTCAAGTCCAGCTGGTGAGCCTGAGGACCCCCGGGGAGAAGCAAGAAACCCTCAAAGAAGGCCCACCCCTCTGGCCCTAAGTCCTGCCGCCTGCTGACTGACCCTAGCCTTTGGGGCCACCCCTAGGGAAGCCTCCTTGGACCCAAGGACCCATCCGTCCCTCCACATGGGTTCCTCAGGGCCCCATGCTGGGCCTCTGCTCTCATCCACTCGAAATTTTAAATATCTGCAAACCAGCAACCCCTACGTCTTTCCTCATAGTCCAGAACATTCCCCCGGAGGCTCCACCAGCTCTTCCACACAGGAATGGGATGCCACACTCCCCTCAGCCTGTCCTACCCTGGGCCCCTACACAACCACTCAGGACTCAAGCTACAGCTGGAGGCACCCTCGAGAGCCCCTGATCCCTGCCATCCACACACATGGCTTTTGCATCCTTTTCCTGAACATGAGTCTAATCGTCTGCAGATCTGATGGTCATTCCCCTGCTCACCATCCTTCCACTGCATTCAGGGTAAAATACCAAATGTGGAGCCGGCCGCCAAGGACATTGAACAGCAGCCTTCCTTCCTGCTCGTCCCTTCCCGGTTCATAAGGCCCCAGGCGGACACCTCCAGTTGTGGAATGTACAAGTGCTGTCCCCACTTCCCACCCGCCAAAGCCTTCACACTTGTTTGTCCCTGATCCTCCATCACTACCCGGAGACACATCTTTCCTCCAAACCCCCCAGGGCCAGGTTCCTCGTGGGTCACTCTCACAGAACCCTCTGCCTCTCTGAAGCGTTTGTCCCTGTGGGAGTCAAGTGTTTTTTGGTTCAATATCTATCTTCCTACTGGACTGTAACCATGATGGGGACAGGACCCCCTTCTGCCTCGTGTTTCATCTCATGTTCAGCCTGATTTCAGTTGCTGGCACCCAGTAACTGAACTGAATGAAAGATAAAACAGCCCCAAGGCCATTGGGTCCTCTGTGTGCCAGAAGGAAGGACATTTGCTCGTTGGAGCTGGGGTAGCCTGGGCCTGGGATTCCTGCTTCCTGGCTCCCTGTGTCGTGAGGGGCCCAGTACCAAGGCAGGACTCTAGGAAGCATGTCCACTGCCCCATCCAGGTTCGCCCGGAGACCTGGGGGGAACCTTGTTTAAGGGTGTTTGGTTTGGATCAGGGTTTTCCCCCTGCAAAGTGCCAAAAAGGAAAATTTGGGAACCTCTAACTCCAGCCCTTCAACACAACAAACATGAAACTGGGGTGAGCGCCACTGCCACTGCTTAATTGTTGTTACACTCTGATAAATAAGCTAAAAATGTGAGAAAACAAAATTAGTTTAGAAAAACTGATTTAGCCCTTGGCTTCATCGTTTAAGTTTTTACGGTTGCCATGACAACCGTGGGTCCATTTATTAAGTCACAGCGTCCCCTGTGTAATGCCATCGCACAGGCAGCGCAGGCGAGCCGCCGGCTGCGGACTTACCTTGAAGTCATCCGGGAGCAGCAGTTTCGACGTCCTCAGGAAGCTCAGGACATAGCGGAAAATCTCCCCATCCCGGTCGATGAAATAATGTTGCTTCAAACTGTCCAGGACGATGGGCTCGGTGCCGTTGAAGAGGCGGCTTATTCTGGGAGACATGGAGGGTGGGATGTCAGATGGAAAGGCCGGTCCACCTGCCCCGCCTGCAATCCGTAGGGCCCATCCTGCTGGAGGGGCAAGGGGCCTTACACGGGTGACCCTGGGATCACACCAGGCCTGAAAGGGATGTCTGCACACGCCAGGGCAGCCAGGCCACCAGTGCAGCAACCAGCACATGCACACACCCCGCCTACCCTTACAAGCCACAGGCAGAGAGAGACACACCCAGCTGTACACACCCACTGGCCGACGCAGGTTACAAGCCTGGAAGACTACAGTGAGACACAGCCACGTTGTCCCATGCACACAAACCCTTGCCAGACAGACTCGCCTAGAATCTCCCGCCGACAATCAGACACTCCAACACACAGCCACACGCCCAGTGAACCCATGTAGACCTGCCCAGATACTCTTGGGTCACACACAACCATCTCCCCCATCGTGAAAAAGCATTGGATGCGGGCACAGGGTCACAGGGTCCCCTCTTCTTGCAGCACACAAATCACAGGCAGACCCAGACCCATCCAGGTGATGGACACACCAGGCAACACGACTCCACCACAGGCCTGGCTGTGTACACTCGACAAACCACAGACAAACCACCCACAGCCTCGCCTTGCACTCAGAGAGCCCTAGGGGAGAACAGAGGCAGACAGCAGGGGCAGCGTGTGTGTGCAGCCATATGCACACACCCAACAGCATGCATGCACACACCCATGTGAACATGGGCACACATGCCGCACACGCGCATCCCTCAGTGTGTGCACACACACCAGTGTGGCTGCACACAGAACAGTGCACACACATGCACGAATGTGGGCACATCTGGGAGTGGACTGGGAGGGGAGGCAGGTCCTAGCACCCCATCCTCTGAAGGGCAGTAGTTCACACAGAAACACACACCTGCAGGAAGCTCTTGGGGAGCCCCCGATACCTGGCTTTCTCCACTCCAGGAAGAAACCAGGTCTCAGAGCCAGGGCTGCAGCCTCCCCAGTGCCCAGGGCACAGGCTTTGGTTTGGCTAATTCCCCTGCAGACCTCCAGCCCAGGTGGGGAGTGACAGGATTTCCTCAAGTGGGGGACACTTTAGGGTCACACACAACCACCAAGTCATCAAGGACACCAAGGGAACAGAAGGGAGGTCAGCACCTTCCAACACGCTTCGGCAGGCAGGGCCCCATGGGCCTCCCCAGTGGGACCCTGCACAGCCTGGGAGAAGGGTCGCCCAGATCTGGGGCCCAGATCTTCCAGCCCAGCCTGCACAAGCCGATGCTTAGTGCCCTCACTCACTCCCTGCCTGCACTGGCGAGGACCTCCCAGAACACTCCCGCTCCCCTCTGCCAGTGCCCACTCCTCTGTCCACTCCAAGTCACTGCTCCTCTGACCCTGCCACCACCACTGTACATCAGGGCAACGAGCTGGGCGGAAGCTGATGGGTTACAGCACCCCCAGCCTCTCTCGGGGCTGCCGGTCGACACACCCTCCACGCTGGGTACTGGCATACTCATGTACCGGCCGGCAGGCTCTGCCCGGGTGTGGAGTGACTACCTGTTCTCACTCTGGGGACATGCCCCAGTAGCCCCGCAGAAAGGGCAAGGATGCCTCAGAGATGGGCATGAGCAGGTCAGAGCCTGCGGGGAGGGGCAGAGAGGCCCCAGCCTGTGGGACCAGTGCTGCAGGCACCCAGATACAACTCATCTCAGAGTTCCAAAGGCCCTGGAGCCCGATCAACCCCCCAGGCCTGGTGACGACAATCCTGGGGGACACAGCCTATTCCAGCTGTCAAACTCCCCAAGACAGAACCTCAGCAGAGCTTGGGCATTCAGATGTCCGGATAAGGGCCGCCCAGCTTCGCTGGAGACAGGTGGGCCTGAGCAAGGCTGCCAGGTGCCATGGGGCCGTCACCAGATGACAGCTGAGGGCCCCACACGGCACCAGCAGGAAGAAGTAAGAGGTAAGTCAGCAAGTCTGAAGCCCCAGCTTCCCTGCGGAATTTTCTCCACCCTTCCTGGTGGAGCTCAAGCACTCTGGGCAGTGAGCAGCTTTCTGGGCCTGGCTGTGCTGCAAATCCCTGACATCAGGCTCTGAAGCTCCAGACCGTCCTCTCGGTGCAGAGGCCTGCCGGCCCCCCACATTCCAAGGCTGCCTGGTTCTATGCTGCCTTATCGGTCCAAGGCTAGAGTGTTCTCAGCTTGCTTCATTTCAGGACAGGCTGGTTCTAGGTCTTTCCAGGGTTCCGTGTCTCCACAGACTAAGGCCTTTCACGCCCTCGGGCTCTGAGGCTATCAAAGATGTGAGCAGCTGGAGGGAAGGTGAGGACAGACACCACAAAGGGACCTCCCAATTCTTGTGCGATCTCTTAAGAGTCAGTCTCCACCCCAGGCCACCTTCTGAGGGAGGCTGCTGGTTTGGGATGTCAACTTTAGAAGTCTGCCATGGAAGAAGCTGGCCAGTTCCGACCGCAGGTGTCTTCTTTTTCTTTTCTTCCTTTTTAAGCTTTGGGGCCAATTTCCTGGCTGCTTCAATGAAAGGTTTTATTAGTCCTGAAGCTCCTAGACATCTTAATTTGTTGCTTGTACAGAGGGGACGGACGCCAGTGTGGGGCTGTGATGGCAGCAGTTAAATGACATCCAGCAAGTGAGGTGGCAGACCCAGGGAGGCCACTACCAGCCCCGGGCAGCCGTGCTGTTCCAGGGCCACCCAGCAGCGGCACCCGCTGGAGCTGCCTGCATCGGAGCCACGCTGCCCTGCCAAGAACCCGAAGCCCAGACATAGCTCTGCGGGCACAGGGACCCGAGGGTGTGGGGGCATAAGCCCCTGGGTCTCACAGCACTGCCCAGCGTGGGACTGCTGACATCTCAAATCCCCCAGGTGACCTTGACATACTTAATTCTCCATCTCCAGGTGACTCATACATCAGTGACACCGGATGAGGGGTTGATCTTTGTTTCTAGAATTACTAAAAAAGTTTTTTTAATTTTAATGATTCACTCAAAGAAAGACAAGAGAGACCCGAGGGGCTCTTGCCAGCCCAGCTGCCCAACTCACTACTCAGGCCTGGCCTGACCCACTGTCCTGACTGTCCTCCTGGTCACATCACCACCCTGGCCTCCAGGCTGAAGCTTAGGCCTGGGAAGCAGCTCTCCTATGAGCTGGAAGCCATCCAGGCAGAACAACAGATTCATCTCGAGGCCCAGCCCCGGGAAAGAATGCAGACCGCCACCCCCTCTGGGCACATCCTGCCGGGGGAGGGTCCCACATGCCAGGTCACGGGGCCACCAGGGGCCTCAGCTCCCTGGCCAGAGGGCCTGCCCTACGGCGGAGCAGGAGGATGGGCGAGGGTGGGCTGCCCTGTGGGTCTGGGAGGGGAGGGCTGCCCCCTGCCTGCCCTGCTCCAGGCAGCAGCCTGGAGACAGAATGAGGAGGCCCTTCCCCGCAGGCCTGGGCTGTGATGACTCCAGGAAGGCAAGTGTCTGATTTCAGGAAACACTCTTCAGAGAGGTTGTGGGCAAGGGTTTTATGAATTTCACTCGCAAACGTCGTCAACCGATTAAGGGATGATCTATCTCAAACAACGAAGGAATGCCGCAGAAGGCAAAATTGAAATTAAATAAGCAGAATCCATCTCCCATCCTAGACAGGGTTCTGCCAGCCAGCAACTGACAGGCCGACGCAGCTGACATGGCCTCCTGACTGCTACACCCCCTGGAGGCCCCCAGGCCACAAGTGCCCCGGGCCTAGCCTGTCGGGCTGAGGGAATGAAGCTCCAACCGCCAACCAATGCCCAACTCCCCAAATTCTGAACCAGATGCTGCATCTGCCTCCAGCGGTCCCTCCTCCAGGGAGCCCTCCGCCTCCCTGGAGGGCACCACCCTGGCCTCCAATGAGCTCCCAAAGCAGCCACCACCACACACTATGAGTCCATGCTCTGAGCAACCACACCAGCAAACAAGACAGCCAGATCAGAAAGCTTCCCAGAGAGGCTCCCTCAGTATCTGGGGGATTAATTAACTCCTCTTTTTATTTTAAATGTCTAAAACAGGAGGTGATGCCCTGCAGCCTTGGCCCTTCTACTGCCAGCCCTTGGCAGTACCTCGCTCTACCAAGAGCAGTAAGCAATCATGGGCTCAGCAAGCAGCACACTGCATCACCTCCAGGAGATGCTCAGAGACCCATCCCGCCTCCTGTCAGCCCTGCTGCTACATGCCAGTGGGGAAACCAGGTCTGCCCCTAGGAGAGAAACGCTGGAAAGGCCAAAGCAGGAGAGTCACTCGTGCCGGCGCCTCCCACAGATGGGCCCAGGAGTCAGGAGCACTAGGGAGCTCGGCAGAGTGTAAAGCTCCCTGTAGGAAGGGTCCTGCTCAGAGACACTTTGCCCGCTAATGGCGGGATGAGGCTCATGCTTATCCAGAGCCGTGTGTATCCCGGAATATCCTGGAATTCCTAGCCAGTCACTGCAACACCTGCCTCCCCTGGGAGCCTGCTGCTGGCCCTTAGGGTCTGCAGTGGCCAACCAAAGATGACAAATCGCAGCTCCCCTCCATCCTTCCCCTTATGTACTTTCCCAAGTGTTAGACTAGGAAACAGGATTAAAGATTTCTCCCCAACACGACTCGGGGAAGCGCACAGCATTGCTCACAAATGATCTCCTGCAGAGGCCAGGCCTGAGTCTCGCTCCAGGGGAACCTGAAGGTACATGAGATTCCCCAGCTAGCTGCTGGCCAGTTTCAGGTGGGGCTCGCTCTGAAAAGGGGCCTCTGCCAGTGGGCCAGGAGCTCCACCTACGCCTAGCGCTACCAATGCCACCAGCTCGAGGTCACAAGTTCCTGTGCAAAGCAGCCTTCAACAGGCAGACTCGGCCTCCTAAACTCTGATTGCCCAGGTCTGGGAGCAGGTGGAGAGCCCCGCATCTCGGCTGGCAGCAGGCTGTGGATGCTGCCTGTCACCCCAGCCCACCCCAGTGCTCTGAGGGGCTCGGCTCTTACCTGGAGTCAGGGTACTTGGTGAGCGTGGCCAGGCTGCTGGTGTACATGTGGCCACCCACGTCTATGTGCACAGGCGCGTTGGACTTAGTGAGCTGGGCGGGCAGTGGGATCCCCTGGGCGGCCAGGGGAGACACAGGCGACCGGGTGAGAGACAACCGGGACATGCTTCCTCCCTCCTGGAGGTGGAAACAAGGCAAAAACAAGGGTTTCTCCACGACAGAGCTAGGGACTCCCCTTTATTGCCACTGTGATCACAGATCTAATCAGATCACTTCTGCCTGTGCCTGATCACATATTCAGCTGACAAATTATGGCCACCACTGTAATTAAGTGTATTTGCATCATTTTCTTCCAAGTACCAGAGGGAACAAGGAAGATGCTTATTAGCAATAAGAAATCAAGAAAAAAAAATTTTTCAAGGTGTCAGCCTCCAGGGGCATAAAACAAACTGCAAAATTCTAATTAAAGGTCGTGGGCTTATGTGTTAGATGTGAAATATCCCCTGACAAACGAATCACCAATTTGTGAATTGGGATTCAGGGGTTTTTGCAAGTTTGTCTCAGTAACGAGACACCTCTAAATTAGTGACTTCCTCAGCACCTAAGGCGTTGAGTTTTATACATGTAGTAAATTTCACATCAAATTAAGAGCATTTTTGTTTCAAAAAAAAAATACATAATCGTACAGCCAGTCAACAGCCGTCTCTCGAAGGCCACAGCTGCGGCTGTGAGGAAGGGCAGCCAGTGAGCAGGCAAAGAAGGGGACACCAGCCCCTGACCCAGCCCACTCTGCTGGCTCTCACCGCGGTGCCAGTGCTGCCGTGGGTGTGAAGTGAGGACCCGCTCGGCCGCTCCTTGCGGTGAGGCATCTAGGCTTCCATCTCTGCCCAGAGTATCTGTGGGAAGCACGGGAAAAACCAGACAGAACTTACTCCTCAGGAGCGATGGATGCTGTTATCTCCCAGAGTCAAAGATGCTCACAATCGACCTTTCTGCACATGCTTTCTGGGACCCCATGCCCTATCACACAGCCCTCTCCATATTCGCAATCCCCCCCCCCGCCACTAGCCTGTCCCTACCCCAAAGCAAAAGCCCCCCAAAGCCTCGGGCGATAGATTACTTACACACACACATACATGCATGTAACGCACACACACTCACACACGTGTTTCCAGGGCAGCTCCACGCCTGTTAATTCAGCTAATGACAGTACTGAAACATATGCTCACCATTATTGCCCCAAAATGTTTCAGAACAAATCAGATTTTCTTGGTATTTTGGTTTAGAGCCATTTTACCAAGCGTGTCTCCTCTTGCTTCAGCAGAGAACACTGGGGACCACATCTCAGAGAGGATCCCCCACCCTCTATGGGCTGGGGAGCCCCAGGACCTCTCTGAACACTGTCTCTGCGATGTTTCAGGGGTAGTGTGTAACTGGCCAGACACAGAGAAGCCTCTTCCAGCAGAAGCCAGAGCACGGGGAAGAGCGAAAGTCACTGAGGAAGTCACCGCTCCCCTGTGGCTCCTTTGGGAGGAAAACTTGTCTTTGTTTGCCCAGCCTGTACCTCTGCAGTTTCTCCCCAGGCCCCCCGGAATGGTCTTGTTGATGCCTAATGTATTCCAGATCCCTTCGGGATCACACCCCCAAGGCAATAGTGAGCTGGCCAGGAGGCAGCAGCCAGCTAATAAACCCTTTCTCCTGCTCCTCCCCAGTCACTCGGCGACTCTCTGTGCCACAAACACCTGAAATAAGATTGTCCCACAGTTTCTAGAAGCTGCCTGAGGATGCTCTGCAGGTCCTATGCAGAGAGCTGGAGAAGAGCAGGTCTAAGCAGCCCCTTCCACTGACTTGGGGCTGTCTCATGGGGCCGGGGAGGTTTGCACAGGCCAATTGCATCCCCTCCCCACTCCCCCACTGGCTTCCACACGCCTAACCTGGACTTCTCTCTTGCAGGTTTACCCTCAACCTCCCTCAAGGATTGACTTTGTGCCTTGAAATTTAACATCCAATTCTAAAACCTGGACCAAGGTCCAATGAGAATTAAATCCTGCCAGTTTAAGTCAGGTCACTCTCCTAGTATCTGTTCTGCCCTCGGTGTCCTGACAAGTTCTCTGACAGGAAACTGGGGTGGGGGCTAGCAGACAGTGTGGGCTCCCCAACAAGCTCAAAAAAGAAAACCAGGTCACTTATCTCAAGGAAGTTCTGAGCAACTAAAATATATCTCAGGAATAGGTTATCCTGTCCGGGGAGGCAATGCTGGGGGAGGAGTCAGAAGGAAAGCCACACTGAGGATAAACTGTGCTGGAAGAAATTCCGATGGAAATTCTATCAAAGCGGACTGCACAATGTTTTCCCTACTATCCGGACACTACTCAGGAGTGACATTTAACACCCAGTATCCATCACAACAGCTGCTCCATCCTGTTCTCACCCAGCCTCTTTTCCATTGCAAGCCCAACCGAGGTTCACGGCAAACCAGAAACTCACCATTGGAAGCCCCAGGCTGTACGCCTTGACTCGAACCTCCACTGCTTTCTCCGACAAACGCATCTGTGCTGGACAACGACCCTTTCCCAGAGACCACTGCTGAGGTCAGAAGCATAAAGTGGGTGCGGGAAGAGACACAAGTTCATTCCGTCAACACCAGCATCAAACCCACCACCCCAACCCCAGCGCGCCACCGCCCTCCCGAGGCTCGGCCAAACCGCCTGTTGCGGGGGCCTCGGCGGTAGTGTACTCCACCGCCCACGGGTTTCCAAACTGGCTGGGTATTGACCCGCTTCTCCAAGCTGCGGCGGGAGCCCCGGGTCCCGTGCCCGCCCGCCGCCGAGCCCCGCCCGCCCGAGCAGAGGGAAGCGAGCAGAATGCCACGCTCATTTACACACAAAATGATTTTGTGTCCCATTGTGCTCGCAGTTGTTCAGCTCTCTGGGGGTGATTAAACTGGCTGAGCTGCGGCAGCTTGAGACGATTTCACTAAATCGCTTCTTCGTGAATTCGCTTCTTTGCTAAGCTGTTATTTTAACCATAAAAGGTAAACAGAAGGCGCCTCGAGAGCTCCCTTCAGCTCTGCGCCCCGGGCGCCAGGGGCCTGCAGAACTGTCCAGAGGGTGGGCCAGGAGGAAGGCGGGCGGGCCACC